TGGTCCCGGCATAAACTGATCTGCGTGAATCGCCCAATGCAACGACCCTGGTAGATATCCATGTTCAGAAACAAGAAGCTACCAACCACGGTCGTCAAACACGATTTATGTGCTTGGTTCCGGCATGAACAAATAAATATGTGTGAATAGCCCGATGCGACAATCCTGATGTTCCAAAATGAAGTTCACCAGCCACCGCCGCCAAATACGATTGGTGTGTTTGGTCCCGACATACACAAACCGGCGAGAAGCGCCCCATGCGCAACCCTGGCAAAATCTCCCAATGCCACAACCTTGGTAGGAAACACTGTACAAAGTGAAGCTCACCAGCTACGGCCGCCAAACACATGAACTCGCAAGACCCAATCAAGCTTGCATTTCCACCTAGCTGGAAACACTCGCAGATCGCTGCAGACCCCGCAAAAACATTACAGCCCCGAGCTGATACGCTTGAAAGCTCCTTCATCCCCAGTTCCGTCTCTTCCCCATTACTGCAGCCCTTTCAAACGCCCTCTTGGTGTTCGTTCGCTACTCCACGTTCCTTTTTGAGTTCGCACGTTTGATGTGCCGAAACATGAGCAAAAAATGTGATTGCTTTGCCCGCATCCGGGAAGTAAGTGCGCACCAGAACGTGTATTTTTCACGGGGTTGTACAACAGAATGAAGAAGAAAATGATTTCGAAACCGCTCGCACCCACCGGCGCTTTCTCAAGGCGCTTTGCTGTATTTTCTTGTTTTCGGAAGAACTTGGCGACATGCCTGCATCTCTGGCTCGTCGATGCTCACTCACTTCGTTTCAGCACACCCTGAACTCTGACCGTCCCTTGGATGTGTAATCTCTCACATGCAACCGTCGAGGCATTCTGTCATACCTTGCATGAACTATCACTAACACGCCTCAGGCGTGAGTCCAAAATGTGGGAATTACAGATACAGAGACCGTGTGACACTATCCGAAGTTTTTTGTAGCACCAAAAGTGCATCATTCTCTTTGACCCGGAAACACACAAGGGGTGGAACGATGGGTAGGCAGGGTGAAGAGTTGTTTCATCTGCAAATGACTATCGTTTGTTACTTGAAAAGGATTCAGCCAGGCACCGTATGGTCCGTCCGTGTTTGGTTTGGGAAAATGCAGTCGAATGACAAACGTCGGCCGAGTATTTACGGTCATGAACAGGGAAATGGAAATGCATAGCTTGGTGTGGGTTGAGGATTGGAGAACGTTCGCTATGAATGGGATGCAAGCTTCCCCGAACCGTGGCATACACCGAAAACGGACGCTGGCCTCGTCAGATGACCATGAAACCCTTCCGGAAAACAGATTTGGGCAAACCCGACCAAACAAGCCCTTCGATGGACTACCACTCTCGAGATTATGGCGGAAGCTTTGGTGCGGTTCGGAATTTACCCGACTTGGAATGTGGTCATGGTTTGACATGTCTCATTAACGCTACAGTCGTCATTTCGTTGTGGTTGACGTCATCGCGCATGCATCAAAGCTCCGTCTACCGGCACTGGGCAGGTTCATGGCGGCAGACGTATGTCCTGATTTTGCACTCAAATGTTGATGGACCGTTGGGCAAGCGCAAGAGGCCAGTCCCCCGCGTGGCTTGGAGTGGTCGCCGCATTGGTAGCGTTGGAAGGTCACATGCGTCCGGTATCCCACCATATTGGTGGCAGCTTGATGACCTGCTGAATACATCGATCTGTTGGCTCTCACTTACTCGGATTTGCGAATTCGCTTTGGAACATATCGGCACAGGTACGACCACCGTTGTTTGGATGCCTCAGGCCTTTGAATACCGCACCCTCTATTGTCAAGAGGACATGCGGTCAAAACAAATGTCGATTCATCGCACACTCTTGCTCTTCTATCAACTTCTGTGATGCGGGGTCTTCAGCCACACAAACTAGCCAGCACAGCATCTCCTGTGGGATGGAAGATACGAACGGTGACTAAGCCAGGCAGGCTTAAGAAAGAATACTCTACCGATACCACAGAACCCAGCATGTCGTGTGCGCTCAAGCAAAGAATGTGTTGTTTTCTTCCAACCTTGTACATCACCGAAAACAGGTTCAGGCTTCGAGATTGTATGTATCAGAACACGGACGCCGGGCGAACATTTCCCTGCCTGAGCAGAGTTGTGTAGGTGTTTGGATGCTTGGGAGAGATTCAAGAGGTCACGCTACGGGAGAAAGGCATCCTAGCGAGCCGTTTGCTGGAGGTGTTTGACTCATGTCTGTTGCCCTGAATGCATGGGATGACTTGTAACCCACTACATTTTCAAACGCAAAGTCGCTCTCAGAACAGTTA